TGACCCAAGCCATGGTATTTCCAATAACCTCATATGCATGTGAAACCTGGATAGTGAATAAGGAAGACCGTAGAACAATTGATGCATTTGAGTTATGGTGTTGGAAGAGAATACTGAAAGTGCCATGGGCTGCCAAAAGAAGCAATAGATCCGTTTCGGAAGAAGTGCAGCAAGAATGCTCCTTGGAGGCCAAGATGGCCAAACTTCGTCTCTCATACTTTGGATATACTGTCAAGAAGGGCCAGTTACTGGAGAAGGGTATCATGTTTGGTAAGGTGGGGGGGTCAGAGAAAAAGAGGAAGACACCCAATGAGATGGATTGGCCAAGTGGCAGCATTGATGGACTCAAGCATGGCAACAGTACTGAGGTTGGCCCAGGATCAGGTAGTGTTTTGTTCTACTGTGCATAGGGTCGTTATGGGTCGGTACCAACTCGATGGCACCTAACAACAACAACAACAGGTCTATGTACTTCTGAAGGCAGTGTTTCCATCTTCAGTTTATACAATGACAAAATGGCAGTTTTGACATCCTCTTATTGTTAAGTGGCACTGAGCCTGGCTCATAGCAACCTTATATAGGGTTTCCAAGAAGCAGCTGGTGGGTTTGAACCATCAACCTCGTGGCATGCTAGAGGGACACAATCATCTTCCTTTTAAATGTTCTTTGAGAAACAATAAGAAGTCTGAAGGTCAAGATCAAGGTTATAGGGTGGCTGAGGTAAGGCTTATCAAAGAAATTTTCCTAGGACAGTCCTACTACCTTTGAATAATGAGCAGGTGCAGTGTTGTGATGGAAACACTTCCTTAGTGCAACTTTCCTGGCCTGTTTCTCACCATTGTCGCTTTCAATTTTCTTTTTAAAACTTCTTCATAATTTATCAAGATCACCCTTTTGGGATTCCCAAAAGCAGTCACTATAGCCTTCTGAGCTGACTTCTCTGCCTTTAATTTAACTGGCCCAGTTGTTATTAAGTGTGTTGAGCCAGCTCTGACTCACATAGAACCTGTATAGAGTTTCCGAGGAGTGGCTGGTGAGAATTTGAACTACCAACTCTGTGGTTCAAAGCAGCCTTGCAGTCCAGTGCTTAAGCTACAGTGCCACATCAGGACCCTAACTGGTCCAGTAGATCCCCTCAGAAGCCACTGTTTTTAATGGACCTTTTTTTCTCCCCACGGCATGTTAATGAAACTAAGACAAGCATATTACTGAGAGAACTTCCCTATAGCTATCCACTGATTGCAGAGATAAATTGAAACACATCATGTTTGGAGTAAACCCATGCATGTAGGAACCAGAGTCCTAGTAGCAATGCTTTTTCACTTATCTTGTACAAGGGTGATTCAACAATTATCTGCACTCTGGCCATAGAATTTATTTTAATCAACTTTTATAAAAGACAAATATATCATTTTTTGACATAATCTCCTTGCTTTTCAATACCTTTTGTTCATCTGTTAATATTCCATTATTAAAAAATGTTTTAGGCTGAGCTTTGAGACACGATTGCACTGCTGTCTTCACTTGTTCATTAGAGGTGAACCTTGATCTTCGAAGGGCTACTTTCAGGGGACCAGGCAGGTGAGTGAGATTGAGCAAGATCAGGCATATAGGGAGGGTGCTTTAACACCACAAAAACAAACTTTTGCAGAGTGTCAACAGTGTGGGCAGAGGTGTGAGGACGTGCATTATCATGAAAAATCACAATGCCCTTGTATGCAGTCCCTCTGTTCTTCATCCGAAGTTTAGGTTTCAACTCTTCAGTGAGCCTCTCATTGTAGGGAGTACTGTTGAATGTAGAACCTTTTTCCTGATAGTGTTCCAATACTGCCCCCCCTCCCCACCTTGAGAATCTCAGAAACTGTAAGCATCAATTTTCCAGTTGATTGTTGACTTTTGAACTTTTTTCTTGGTTGGCGATTGAAGATGTTTCCATTCCATACTCTGCCATTTACTCTCAGGCTCATAGTGATGAATCCATCTCATCAGCAATGTTTTTTTTTTTTTTAAATAAACTTTTACCTTCCATCGAGTATCAGTCCCAATTTTGTTTGCACATGTCCAAACGCTTCTGTTTATGCTCTTCCGTGAGTTGTTTAGGTATCCATTTCGCACAAACTTTTTGAAACCCAAGTCTGTTATGGACTATTTCATAGCCAGAGCCATGGCTGATTTAAAAATAACTTGCCACATAATCCACTGTCACTAGATGTTTGTTAGATTATATATTTATATTTTTAATTTTTCTTACAGTATTCACACACACACAGGCCTACTTAAATATCTCAAGTTGACATCAGATTGTCCCCCTAATTCTTAGTAGATGTTCCACTTTTCTTTGCTTCAACCTTTCATGTAAAATTGACAGTACAACCACTAGTATGTCTATACTGCATACCCCTTTTTCCAGTGCTGAAATATTGCCTTCAGGAAATGGGAGGCCTTTGTGTGTGAGGGGGTGGGTGATTTCCACAAAATTGGTCATCTAAAAGCTATCAAGTTCTGGAATGTGGCAGCTGTACTCTGAGCAGAGTAACGGTAAGGGAACTAGTGATGTCCATAGAATGAGAATTCTCCAGCTTAAAATTTGTGTACTTTAAAAAAACCTTTATTAAGTCTAACCCCTCAGAGGTGAATGAAGCTGGTCAGACAAACTCTGAAGCCTGAGTTTATGAAAACTTAGTTAAAAGCCAAGACTTTTTGATACAGACTTAGTCTACCTATCTGAGGAGCCTCGGTGGTACAGGGGGTTATATGTTGGGCTGCTCTCTGAAAGGTGGGTGGTTTGAAAAACAAGACCAAGATGAGGCAGTCTGTTTCCATAAAGACCGCAGCCGTGGAGACTCTATGGAGCAGTTACTTCTCCTCTGCTGTACAGGATCCACATCAGTCAGAATCAATCGGATAGCTGTTTGGTTTTGAGCTATCTAACTGAATTTCTTAAAAGATCTGTCAGTGTCTTATTATCTGTTTGAAAAAAAAAATTTTCTAGAAGGATCCATCTTTAACACGAATTCATTTTTGACCCCTTTGAGGTAACTGCACTTTGCAAATGTACTTCTTAATAACAGTCTCTACTGCTACAAATATTCATACTCATGTCTGTACTAACAGGCTCAGGCAGAGGATCAAGCCTGATCAAACACGTGTGCAAAGAATCTTCACACAGGCTAAGAGAATGGAATGAAACAGGGGTTGGGGCAGAAAGACAAGCCCAGAGTGCCTTGGGCCTCCCCCTCTATTAAACTGAAGAGAAGTAGCAAATGGAAGAATTGTAAAGTCTCACCCATCATGATATTAGAAGCAGAAAGGATGCTAAAAGTTAGGGCATCAGGCAGTGCAAATTGCCTTTGATGGTTCCAGTTTTTTCATGTAGCTCCCAGCACCCTTGGGTTTATGAAAGAAAGCTTACAAGCGAAACAGGCTACACTTGAGTCACAGGTCATATTTCCAATTTTAAGTCACAGCTTTGACCTTTGGATGTGAATCAGGTTTAATGTGAACTGAATGACAATGTGCACATGTCTATACTGTAAACTATTCAGATTAAGCATTATTTGTAACATTAAAACAAAGCCACACTATTCTCATTTTAAGCCTGCAACATTTCCTCAAAATGATTAGTTTTGGCTGTGCAATAAATACATCTGTAAGTGGTAACAGCAGGGAGCAAACATTATGCCTGAGGAAATAAAAAACAAACGAGAATATACTGGTAGAAGTTTATTCAACATGAAACGACAAGGCTTACCTTCGCACACGGGGCAGCACTCCCCAGGCACTTTGACGGGGTTCATACAGCTTTGCCCACAGGCTGTGGCGACGCAGTGGGGCTCTCCATTGATGCACTGGCAGAAGGTGCAGTCATCTTCCCTCCACCGGTCTCCGTGAGCCCGGATCTGGCCATTGGCATAGCAGCCGGCGGGTTTATTAAGAGGATACACTGGATCTAAATGAAGAAATGAGCTCAGAGTAAGACTGAGGGTATTCTATAGCCTACCTGTTTGGAGCTAGAGACATTTTTTTCTAGGTTCTCATCAGCAGCAGTTCTTTCTCAACTGAGATCAGCTCAAGGCTACATGAGGAGACTGGGCGTCCATGAACAAACAGCTGTCCCAAGGATTTATGTCCACCTGCTTTGACACTGCAGTCAGGACAGGGGACCTGTGCTATTAAAATAAAAAAAAACTTTTTTTTAAAAATCAACGTGCAGGTGTTATAGCTCCACAGGGGCAAGAAACTTGCACAGAGCTGTGAGTTGGTAATTAGAAACCACAGATCCATTTTGGGATCTGACAGTGTTTTCTGAATTGTTCATTTAAGTGTTTCTCGCACCTCAATTATATCACCTGCAAAGTGTTAAGAATAATGCTTCCAGCTCACTTATTGATTTCTGTTGTTTCTAGGACTCACTGGACTGTATCTCTGTGGTGTCCCAGTGGTCTGGGAGGCCCTGGCTGTGGCCTTGCTCATGACAAGGTTAGTTTACATCATGGCCTATGCTTGAGCCTTAGGAAAAGGCTGGAGGCTTTCTGAGGTTACTGACAAGGACTTAAGTGCTGAATGCAAAATCCCCATCTCTCTCTCATGAGAGAAAACAGATAAAGACCTCAGTTTTCTTTTTAACAAACAAACAAAAAACAGCCTTCAGAAGCCACTTTCACTGTGCTGGGAGTTAAGTTCAGGTAGTTTTGAGCTTGCTGGTCTTTATTCAAAAGCGGTACTAGGGCATTGTAAGAAGGGCCAGGATTTAAAATAATGCAGATTTAGAGATGGCAGAGGCCAAGAGACCTGAGCTAGAGAAGACTTTCTCAATTCTTTTATAAAAAGTCTTACACAACAGAATTCACATTTCCACTTTGAACCTGGGCCTGAATTCCAGGAAATGAGACATAACCGGATCCCTGCCCAGACAACTCATTATGATCATTACAAAGAGGTTCATATCTATGTTTTTACACCACCAACAGCTTCATAGTTTCAAAGACTAATAGAAACCGGGGGCAGCAAGGCAGCGATTCAATTGGGAAGGTTAAAAGTTTGAGGTGATTTTTCTGTTTGATTTTTATCCCAATGACAAACCACCTTTCTCTTGTATTGGCTAAAATAACTTGTAATGGGGGGAAAAGATTTTAACTGTTATGAAGAATTCCTCAGTGGTGGTGTTGTTAGGTGGAATTGACTCTTAGTGAACCTAAGCACAAATAACAAAACACTTCGTGTCCTGTACCCTTACCATCCTCGCAATTATGTTCAGTCCACTGTTACGTTAGGAAAGTATTTTGGAAGAAAAAGTAATGCTGTAAATATTATTTTTACAGATTTCACTTATGTGATAAACAAAGCTCAAACATGGAGTGGGGGAAGTTTAAAGGGACTTTAGGGAAATGGGAAAAGGTATAGACCAAGGCATGACAATATCCTGTTTCCTGTGTAAACGTCAACAGGGTCAGCTCTGGCACAGGGTGGGCAGGGCTGACCTCAGACTGAAGCTCTGATATCCAGTCAGGATGAGAAGACTCACCTGACTCCCTCCCCTCATCCCCCATGCCTGGAGCCAACAGCGTGTGTGGAAGAACACAAGAGACCTCGGGCTCCACTGAAAACTCACGTAAGTCACTTAACTTTTCTGAACTTCTGTTTTCTACTCTTTAAAATGTGTGGGCTGTAGTAGATGAACTTCAGGGATGAAATGTTTACTGTTTATGAACGTCAAAGGAAAGAGGACTGAGACTATTAGAGGATCATGGAATCATTACTTGTTGAAGAGGAGAAGGGGATATAGAGAAGGCACAACATCCGGAGCCACACCAGACACCCAGCTGGACCCTGAGCTGGAAGGAATGACCCCATGGTCACCTCATACATATTCAAAGGAGGACGAGGAGCACTGTCCTGATGCCAACTGGAGGGAGATGGGGATGTTAAAGACTCAGGGTCAGTTCCTCTTAGAGTAACTGGCTGTGACTGTCAGCAATATGGGCTGTCTGTTGTGACTCAACAATTGGAAAGTAGGTGGTGAACTTGAAATGTCAGGGTGCAGAGGAAAACACTGGGACTTGCCAAGGAACTGTTGGGAGTAGCAGAGGAGAACCGAAAATCCCTTCTTGGAAGTCTCATATTAGCCTACAGACTGGGTCGTGCAAATTGTTAACTCGCTCAGAGTCTACCCAAAGGTTGAAAGTTTCAGCCCACCTTGGAAGAAAGCCTTGGTGCTCTGCTTTGGAAAAACTCAGCCATTGAAATCCCTGAAGAGCACAGTTTCACTCTGACACATGCTGACACACAGTTTCACTCTGATTCATGAGCTGGAATCAACTCTATGGCAGCTGGTTGGTTGTCTAAAGCAGGGTACAACTTCCCTCTAGGAAGTGTTTTTATACAGGTCATAAAAGAATATATTACGTTCAGTAGATAGATAATAATGTCATAAAAAGATAATTTCTTCAATATTTCCTCTAATTTGGGGCAAAACTGACTAAGGTCAACTTTGCTGTCATAACCCCGAACCATGTCTCCCTTATTAACCTTCAATTGGTGTTTTTTTCTTACCTTCACAAACAGGGCAGCACTCCCCTTCGGGCACGTAGTACCTCTCACAGTTCAGCTCGCCGCACTGGGCCGTGAAGCAGATGGAAACACCCCCTTGGCATCGACAGAATCGACAATTGTCCATTCGGAACATATCTCCATCATAATATTCCACGTTGTTGAACACACAAGCTGGTTTTGTTTCTAAAGGGAGTTAAAGCAAATCAAAGTGTCTATTTATGCTTCCCAGTCTCTAGAGAACTCTAATAGCACGTTTCATAATGTGATGCAAATTCACTAAACAAAATAATTCTATTTAACTAGAACAATAAAGCAAAGCAATGTTAAAGAAGCAAGACATACTGAAACCTTCTTTACACCTATGATTAAACTTTTCTCAGCAAAATGTGGATCAACTTCTTCTTAACCCAAATGAAGGCACTTTATGACCATGAAAATTTACAGATACAATAGGCATCTTGAAGAAATTATATTCATTTTGTTAAATCACTTTCTATCTTAAATACAGATTATCCTAGATCCAAATTAAGTTGTTAAATTTTTTTTAAATTTAGGCCTTTTTAGAGTGAAATTCTTCTACTCTTCTACTGTTATCTACTCAAGCCTTTTCTTTTGCTGGTTTAACAATTAGTAATTTCAAAAGTGCTTAACTGTTAACAAAACTCTTTCAATGCATTACCTCACTTAATCCCTATGTTGTTTTTGTTGTTAGGTGCTGTCAAGTCAGTCTGACTCATAACTAACTTTGTCCAACAGAACAAAGCACTGCATAGTACTGTACACACATCCTCACAATTGTTGCTAGGTTTGAGGCTCATTGTTGCAGCCACTCTGTTAATCCATTTCATTGAGGGCCTTTCCATTTTTTCACGTACATGCTGTTTTACCAAGCATGACGTCCTTCTCCAGGGACTAGTGCCACCTGTTAACATGTTCAAAGCATCTGAAATGAGGTCTTGCCATCCTCACTTCTAAGGAGCACTGTGGCTGTATTTTTCTTCCAAGACAGATTTATTCATTCTTCTGGCAGGCCATGCTGCAGTTAATATTCTGTGATAACACCCTAATTCAAAGGCATCAATTCTTCCAAAGTCTTCCTCAATCTTTGCCAAGCTTTCTTTATGTTGTGGTATAATCCACACTGAAGCTTTCTTTATGTCGAGGTATAATCCACACTGAAGAGTGTAGTCTGTGATCTCTATTAATTCGTGCTTCAGTTCTTCGTTGCTTTTAGCAAGCAAGTTTGTGTCATCTGCAGATTGCAAGTTATTAATGAGTCTTCCTCCAATCCTGATGCCATGTTCTTCTTAATATATTCCAGTTTCTCCAGATTATATGCACAGCATACCAACTAAGTATGAAAAAGGATTTCACCCTGACACACAAATTTGCTGATTTAAACCCCACTGTTGTTAAACGCCATCGAGTAAGTTCTAACTCCAACTCATATCACCCAGCATAGGGTTTCCTGGAACGGCTGTTGAGTTTGAACCGCAGACCCTGTGGTTCAAACTGACCTTGTGGTCCAGTGTTTTACCCCACAGCACCACACCAGAATTGCCTAAACCACATGTTGCTGTTATTAAGTGCTGTCCAGTTGGTTCTGACCCATAGCAATCCTGTACAGGGTATCCAAGGAGTGGCTGGTGAGCCTGAACTACAGACCTTGTGGTTCTAACTGACTTTGCAGTCCAATGCATTAACCCACAGTGCTATACCAAGACTCCATAAACCACATAGTATGTCAGATGGATCCTGGCTGAAAGCAGAGAATACCAAAAAGATGTTTCCTACTATTTTATTAACTTTGCAAAGGCAATAAACTGTGTGGATCATAATCAACTAGGGACAGCATTACAAAGAATGAGAATTACAAAACATTAAATTGTGCTTCTTAGGAACTATACAAAGACCAAGTGACAGACATATAAACAGAGTAAGGGGATACTACATGTGTGTGTGCCCATGCGTGTATTAAACCACATAGTTAGTTGTCAAATTTCTTGGCATAGACAAGTAAGTGTTTCTAACATTGTATCTGTTTGAGGAAACATCTCAATTGGTATTCCGCCAATTTCTAGAGCTTTGTTTTTCACCAATGCGTTCAGAGCAGCTTGGACTTTTCCTTTAATATCATTGGTACTTGATCATATTCTACATCTCCTATAGTAGTTGAATACATTAATCCCTATATAGGGGTTAACTGACATAAAAATTATTGCAGATGTAAGGAGCTGTTAAACAATTTACACAAAGCCACACATATAGCAAATGATAGAAACAAACACACTATTAGCTCATGTAGCTAAAATCATGTGCTCTTTTCACTGTTTCAAAGTGTTGCTTTGCTAAGGAATGATAGCTCCACATTTAGAATTTTTATCATGCTATTAACTGCTTTTGAATATTTTTCCACCCTGAAACACATTCCCTAAATACATTCCTTATCTCTAATTTTAGTTGATCTAAATGTATTCCCACTAGGTAAAGAATCACTTAACAAGGGAATTGCAGATCAATTTTTTTTTTATGAATACAAATGCAAAAATACTAAAAAAAATATACTAGCAGTCTGAATGTCAAGATCATGTAAAAAGGATTATATGCCACGACTGGACAGGGTTTATTCTAGGAATTCAAAGTTAGTTTAATATCCAAAATCATTTCATGTAAAATCTACTGATTACTATGTAAGAATAGAGGGCAAAATCACTATCATCTCAAAAATCACAGAAAAACCTTTTGACATACTGCAATATACTTTTATGACAAAAAAACCCCCAACTAACTAGCAAAAATAGAAGGAAACTTCTTCAACCTGATAGATGGTGCTTAAAAACAAACCCACAACTAGCACCAAATTTACTAGTGAGAACTGAAGGATTCTATCCTAAGATCAGGAACAAGACAAGGACATCATTTTCCTCACTGCTACTCAAATAGCATACTCAATTGCTATTATGCCAATTTCTAGAGCTTTGTTTTTCACCAAACCTGGTTCTATCCAGGGCAATTAAGCCAGAAAAAAAAAATCACAAAACGTATTCCAGACTAGTAAAGAAAATGTAAAAACTAAGTTCACATATAACATAATCTTATATGTAAAATTTTCTTTAAAAGTCCACAAAAAAACCTACCAGAACTAAGGAACGATTTCAACAAAGTTACAGGGTATAAGATCAATAAATTACAATTAATTATATTTCTGTTGGTTGTTGTTGTTGCTATGTGCCATGGAGTCGATTCCGACTCATAGCGACCCTGCATAGGGTTTCAGAGGCTGTAAATCTTTAAGGGAGCAGAAAGCCTCATCTTTCTCCTGCGGAACAGCTGGTAGTTTCAAACTGCTGACTGTGAGATTAGCAGCACAATTTGTAACCACTATGCTTCTAGTCTTCCAATAATCAAAAACAAAATAAAAAACAATTCCAATTACAGCAGGATCAAAAAGAATAAAATATATAGGTAAAAATTTAACAAAAGGCAACACTTGTAGACTTGACACTGCAAAGCATTGATGAGCACACTAAATAAATGGAAATACAGCCCATGTTCCATGGACTGAAGACTTAAGACTGCTAAAATGGGACTATATTCCCCCAATTAATCAACAGATTCAACATATCTCTATTAAAATCTCAAGTGGCTTTGTCTTTTTTTGGTAGGAGCTACAGAAAATTCATATAGAAATGCAAGGTAACTAGAACAGCAGTCAATCTGGAAAAAAATTAATTTGAAAGATCTACACTTCCTGATTTTAAAATTACTTGCTATAAAGCGTTACGGTACTTAAAATGGTTTAAAATTAGTGTTAAGGATAAACATGTAAGTAAATTTTGATTTTTGTTACAGTGTCAACATAATTGAGTGGGGAAACCGCTTTCAACAAATGGTGGAGTGACTGGATAGTCACAAGCAAATGAATAAAGATGAACGAATGCACCTTATTTGTTGTTGTTAAGTGCCATCCAGCCAGTTACAACTCATAGAAACCCTGTATAGAGTTTTCAAACAGTGCCTGATGAACTTGGTCTGCTATCTTGAGGTTCAAACTAACCTTGCAGTCCAGCACATTAATCCACAGGGCTATACCAGCACTCCGATACACCTTACAGTGTGTATAAATATTAACTCAAAGTAGATCATAGAGCTATGATCTACATGTAAGAGCTAAAACTATACAATGCTTAGAAGAAAATATAGTAAACCATTATGACTTTAGACTGTTGTTGGTTAAGTGTCGTCAAGTCAGTTCCAACTCATAGTGACCTTGTATAGGGTTTTCCACGGAGAGACTTATGAGTTTGAATCACCAACAATGCGGTTCAAACTGACCTTGCAGTCAAGCGCATCAACCCACAGCGCCACACAAGGATATCTGACTTTGGATTAGGCAATGGTTACTTAGATATGACTCTAAAAGCACAAGAAACAAAAGAAACTGGATTCTTAGTAACTTTCACACTTTAAAAGGCACCATCAAAAAAGTTAAAAGACAACAGATAGTATGGGGAAAAGTATTTGCCAATCATACATCTAATAACTGGGATGTATTTTTTTAAAACTCTACAATAAAAAGACAAATAAACAAAGTGGAAAATGAGCAATTGTTTGAACAGACACATCTTCCAAGAAGATACAGAATTAACCAATAACTACATGAAAATATACTCAACATATTTCGTCATCAGGATGGTTATAATAAAAGACAAGTGATGACAAAGTTGATGAGGATGTGGAGAACGTAACACTCATACATAGCTGGTAAGAACATAAAATGGTCAGCAGTTGGCAGTTCCTCAAAATATTACATACAGAGTTATCATGGGCTGCAGCCATTCTATTTGTAAGTAAAGGCCCCCCAAAAATGAAAACATATGCCCACGTATAAACTTGTACACAATGTTCATGGCATCATTATTCCTAGCAGCATAAAGTGGAAAGAACCAAAATGTCCATCAACGGATGAATGGATAAACAAAAGACAGTGTATACAGTGGAATTTTTTGGTCATAAAAGGAACTAAGTACTAATATATATACTACAGAATGAGGGAACCCTGCTGCACAGGAACTTTTTAAAGTGTTGAAAAGCAAAGATGTCAGTTTGAGGACTAAGGTGCCCCTGACCCAAGCCATGGTATTTTCAATAACCTCATATGCATGCAAAAGCTGGACAGTGAA